GGGGCGTGGTCGGCCTGGGCGTGCTGGGTACCTGGGTACCTGGGCGCTGTGATGGGGCGAGGTCAGCCTGGGTGTGCTGGGTACCTGGGCACTGTGATGGGGCGTGGTCGGCCTGGGCGTGCTGGGTACCTGGGCGCTGTGATGGGGTGTGGTCGGCCTGGGCATGATGGGTACCTGGGCGCCGTGATGGGGTGAGGTCAGCCTGGGCGTGCTGGGTGTTTGGGAGTGACTTCCCGTTCCCCGCTTCTGCGCCTGCTCAGCCCTGTTGGGGTGCAGTGTGACTACTGCCTGCCCGTGTGTGCCCCTGTGCCCAGGCTCTCCTCTTGCTCCTTCCAGGCGCACGGCAGCCCTGCAGGAGGGGCTGAGGCGGGCAGTCTCTGTACCGCTGACGCTGGCGGAGACGGTGGCCTCGTTATGGCCGGCGCTGCAGGAACTGGCCCAGTGTGGGAACCTGGCCTGCCGGTCAGACCTCCAGGTAGGGGGGTGCCTGGGGGACCCCAGGGCTGCTGCAGAGCAGGAAGCAGCTGTTGGGGCTCAGTGGCTGGAGAGCACGGTGGTTTGCTGGCTGAGCCAGGCGGTGAGATCTCACTTCATGGGCAGTTCCTGGGGCTTTGGCCTCCTCCAGCAGGGCCGGGGTATCCACTGCCTTCTAAGATCTCGCCCACGGTCGCACCACAGACAGGCAGAGACCCATATGTGTCTGCAGAGCCCATCCTGACCACTGTATACACTTCTCCACCTCCCGCAGGGGCCGCTGTACCACCCACCCTCTTGTTCTAGAAAACACCTACGTCAGGCCAGGCACAACGGCTCACGCCTGTGGTCCCAGCACTTTGGGAGGCTGAGGCGGGAGGATCACTTGAATAGAGGAGGTTGAGACCAGCCTGGGCAGCATAGTGGGGTATGTGTGTACAATAGACAAGTATGAGCCGGGCGTGGTGGTGCCTGTGGTCGCAGTTACTTGGAAGGCTGAGGCAGGAGAATTGCTTGAGCACAGGAGGTCGAGGCTGCAGTGAGCTGTGATCACACCACTGCACTCCAGCCTCGGTGACAGAGCAAGACCCTGTGTCAACAACAACAAACAAAACACAAGAAAGCACACAAGGCAGCTCCTGGAAGTAGACGCAACACACTGACGGGCCACAGCCGGGCAGAGGCTCCCGGACAAGGAACATCTATCTCATGGGCTCGGCACTTTCTGCAGCTGCCCTAAGACCTCATGGTCTTCCGGGTCTTTACAGGAAAGACACCAGTTTCCAGCGTCTGGTCCCAGAGAAGTGTCCCCTCAATCCCTGGGAAGTGGCCCAGGGCAGTTAGCCTGAAGCTGCCTCCGGGGGCCCTCCAGGGGATGACTTTGCCTCTAGAACTGTGGTCCCTGCTCCTAGGGTGGCGGACAGCCTCCAGCACGGCTGCTCCCGGGCCTCCTGCGGGCTGAGCCCTGCTTGGATAAGAGGAAGTTTCGTTTTCTAAGCTCAGTGGTGGAAGAAACCAGGAGCTGAGCTTGTCGCCCCGGAGGCGGCTCCCTCTGTGGGGTGAGAGTGGGGGCTGCACTGGGCTCCTTGTAGTGAGGAGGAGCCCCTGAGGCAGAGACAGTCTGAGCAGTTTACTCAGACTTGATCCACGGAGGGGCTCCCTGGGGTCCTTGCAGGTGGCGGCCAAAGCCCTGGAGACGGGTGTGTTTGGCGCGTATTTCAACGTGCTCATCAACCTGAAGGATATCACAGACGAGGCATTTAAGGACCAGGTGAGCAGGAGGCAGGTGTGGTGCCCGGACCCCACGTGGGGCCTGGATTCGCAGCCTCAGGGTGATTGCGACTGTCCATGGGCAGCGGGGGTGGGAGCCTGCTGCCTAGCAAGCCAGGCTGAGGCTGGAACTCCTGGGCCCTCTTCCCCCGTGTGTCTGTCAGATCCACCATCGCATCTCCAGCCTCCTGCAGGAAGCCAAGACCCAGGCTGCACTGGTGCTGGACTGCCTGGAGACCCGGCAGGAGTGATGGTGCCGGAGGCCTCTCCGGGCTCTGTGGCCCCCCCCTCGCCCATCCCCAGAGGGCAGAGCTGTGACCTGGGTCGGGACACAGTTTGTTCGTGTGGGGCCCGGAGGATAGGTGGGTGGGCAGGGGGGCATCTCCCGGGAATGGAGGTGCTGGTAGGAACAGGAGACCCCTTAGTCCCATGTGCCCTCTAGTAAAGTCTTAGCGCCAAACCTGTGTTGTGTGTGCGGTTTTGGGGGCAGGGCTGAGAGCGGAGCTGCGGGTCTTGGGCAGGAGCAGGACACGTGGTCAGTGGGCCACGGGAGCTGGGGTTGGAGGGGATGGGGCCGCAGTGTGAGGAGACAGACCTCAGCACCAGGGTCCCCAGAAGCCCAGTGCAGCCCACAGTGGGCAGGGTCACAGGTATTTGGAGCACCTGGGGTTCAGTGCAGGTCCCTGGGCCGCGAGGCCCCTCATCTGAGGGAAAGGGGCCCTGGTTGTGCATGGGACAGAAACCCTGGGGACGGCAGGACTTTCGACGCTGGAAGGAGGGCCTCGCTTCCCAGGTGCAGCTGCCAGCGGGTCCGGACAGTCCCACGGAGCACGGTACTGGCCCCGTCCTCAGTTCCCGTCCACCCTTCAACCGGCAGCTCCCTGGGGGACTTTTCCTCCCTGCCTCAGCTGCCTGCCGGGCCAGCCTCCTGCCTCCAGAGAAGTTATTCGTTAAAAAATAATTTTAAAAACCACTATACCCTCAAATTACTTCCAGATGGACTATTCCATGTGATAGACAAAGTATGAATGTATTTGTTAGACAGCAGTGCAGGATATTAAAAAGATGACTACGTCCTTGAGTGAGGCAGAAAGCTCAAATGCCTTATTGGAGAGATTTCCCACTCTGAAAGTAGAACACAGCTGTTCCTGGAAAAAGATGTCACCCAAGACAAACGACAAGAACCCTACAGAGAGAAAAACAGCCCAGGTGTGTGTGGGCACAGGGTCACCATCACGCAGCATGAAGAGTTCCTACACGTCCGGCAGGCAGGGGGCGCCAGGGAGGGGACACTGGGAGGGGACATTGGTGAGGGGACATTGGTGAGGACAGTGGTGAGGGGATATTGGTGTTGGGCTGAGGGGACATTGGTGAGGGGACATTGGTGAGGGGACATTTGTGAGGGGACATTGGTGAGGAGACATTTGTGAGGGGATATTGGTGTTGGGCTGGTGAGGGGACATTGGTGAGGGGACATTGGTGTGGGGACATTGGTGAGGAGACATTTGTGAGGGGATATTGGTGTTGGACTGGGAGACATTTGTGAGGGGATATTGGTGTTGGGCTGGTGAGGGGACATTGGTGAGGGGACATTGGTGTTGGGATGTGAGGGGGCATTGGTGAGGGGGCATTGGTGAGGGGGCATTGGTGAGGGGGCATTGGTGAGGGGACATTTGTGTGGGGGCATTGGTGAGGGGACATTTGTGAGGGACGCTGGTGGGGGATGCTGGTATGGTATAATTCGTGAAGGGCCAGTGGTGAGGGGCAGTTGCTGGGTGGAGCTGTGGGTGGAGCCTGTGGGTAGCTGGAAGTCCTTTCTAGTGGGACTGATGTTCCTGCCCTGCAGGGTCCAAGGCTGCATACACAGGAGCTGGCACCAAGGAGGGGAACATCCTCTCCCTGCAGAGGCCCTGGGTGGCTCCTGTGGGCAGAGCTTGTGCACCTGCAGGGGCCTCTGCCTCCCTCCGCCTGAGGGACCTGCAGTGTTCACCCGGAGCACAGAGATCTGAGGACACTCAGGGCACAGGGGCTTAGCGAAACAGGCAGGCCTCTTCTGCGTCTGTTGCAGGCATTTGAATAGATTTTTGTGGGATGGGAAGAGGAGAGGAAGAGAAAATAACTGATGTCCTGTCCTGGAGCTATAGGCTGTGTGGTCAGATGATGGAGAGGTGGAGTATGAAGAAAAGAGTGAGTCTTCTCAAAGAACAACAAAGTTTTGGGCTATCTGGAGTGAACTGCATTTCCCCAGTTTCACATGTTGACTCCTAACCCTAACCCTAACCCTAACCCTAACCCTAACCCCAACCCCAGACCTCTGGATGTGACCTTGTTTGGAAATGGGGTCCTTGCAGATTCAGTGAGCTCAGGTGAGATCATCCCAGAGCAGGCTGAGCCTGGTCCAGTGTGACTCAGGTGAGCTTATCCTAGAATAGGCTGAGCCCTGGTCCAGTGTGACTCAGGTGAGCTTATCCTAGAATAG